AAGATGTTTTATATGTAAATGAGGATAAAGAGAGGAAAAGAATGAAAATATAAAACTTTAATTTAGAGTGAATTAAGATGTTGTCTAACTTTTCATCTACACATTCTGTATGTTGTGGTCAGAGTTGTGATTTTCACTGACATAGTTTCTTTTCTTTTCATTGACAACTAATGACATCAGCTGCATCGCAAGCCTGATTCCCCAACTCAGTCACTAAAGGAAATTGATAGACTATCATCAATAACTCAGTTATTTTTTCACTTTAGGTACATACATTGTCTCCATTAGCTACTGGAGGGAGAAAATTAGTTAGGAAACTACTAAAGAACTTTATTTCATCTGTTCTTATTTCTCAAAGAAAAACATAAAGGTTAGCTATTGGAGGAAATGTTGTAAGAAAAGGATACAGAATTCATGTCAATGAATTTTATAATAATAATAGTAATCGTAATAAAAGTATTTCTTTAAGAAAATATTTTTAGGATAAAAGGTAAGGAATTTGTCATAACTCTGGCATTCATTCATACTTGGCCTATGTCATGTCTTAGTCATACAGGAAAATGTAAGAATTACTATGCCTGAGTGTATAGAGATAGGGCTTGTAGTTCTGCAATCCTTTTCAGTCATTCTTTGTAATTATTATAACTTCTAGACATGAACCAAGCATGGAGGACTCTCCTTCATAGGGTCACTTTGAGTCGCCTGCGACTAAATGGCACTTAATAACAATAGCAGACGTGAACCAAGATGTCTTCTCCTAACCAAAGCCATATATCTGGCTTCCTTTTATCTGATCACCTCTCTTCTCCCTCATTAAAAAAAGTGCTATTCCTAGGAACTAGTGGAACAGCAGTGTTGTCCATACAGATGTTATTATTAAAAATCAAACCAATACAATGGGCTATAAAACAACCCAGAGTGGCATATGGTATGAAGGAAAGTACTGAAAGGTGGTGTAAGAAAAAGACTTTCTTAAGCTAATATTTTATTATTTATCAACTAATGCTGTGTGACTAGCATTTCCATTCATATAAAATAGTTATGCTTCTTTTGTGATTCCTGTTACAAATAGTGTACTGACACATCTATTTTCCCTCTTTCTCTATTCTTTGCTTCCTTCCTCTTCCTCAGCTCTATAAACCCAAAATTTTCTGATCTATGGGGGGAAAACCCCAACATACAACTAAGCAGTCTTTTTCTTTATGAATTCAAATATAGTCAGTCACCCTACAACACCTCCAAAGAGGTCTGGTGGCATATGCAAAGGAAGGTGTGCTGTTAACTGAAAGGCCATGCCTCACTGGTGGTTTGAATATATCAGTTGTTCCTTAAGAGAAAGATGCATAGTCTCTTTCTGTGCAATTTATGGTACTGGAAACTCCAAGGCAGAAATGAGTTTGAGGATTTTTCTTTTTCAGTTTTGACAGTACTTTGTATAAATTGCTACCTCTCAATTATAAATGTATTCCTAGGTTGAGAGTGCATTATAAGGGGAAGGAGCCGTGTTAATATTTTTTCCAATGCTACAGTACCACCATGTGGAAAAATGAGATGCTCTATGGCCTAGTGGCAAGGAACTATACTGCCAACCCAAAGGTTTGTGGTTCAAAGTCACCAGCTGCTCAGAGGGAGAAAGATGGTCATCTCCTCTTATACAATTTACTTCTTCTGAAAACCAGTGGAAGGTCAGCTATGAGTCAGTTCCTACTCTATGGTACACAACAACAATATAGTAGCCAACTGGATTGCTGGGTTGTGTGTGCTTTATAAGGGGAAGGGCTGTGTTGAATGCGTTCAGTGTTTGTTGTTGTTATTTATCATAGTCAGAAAGACCCATAGCCGATCCTCCGATAGGTTTTCAGAGGTAGTTAATTGCATGGGAGGAAACTACCCATCCTTCTCCGGCAGAGCAGCTGGTGGCCTTGAACCGTGTCCTTTGAGATTGCAGAGAAGCTTCTTGTTCAATGCTATAGTCCCATTATGTGAATAAAATGCCTGGTCTTAAGAGATGCCTAAGAGAAACGTCTGAATATATAAATAAGGAAATAAGGACATTGGTATTTAAATAAACCTTTGAGTGACTTAAAAAAAAAGGAAAAATAAAATCAAAGGCCTTTGGATGGTTATAAGATTAGAAGAAAATAGGAGGGGGAAAGTAGATATACCTGAAAGTTTATAAAAGATAATATCCATGGAAAAAAAAGCAAAATGTCATTACACAGACGAATGAGGATGAAAAAAAGGCAACTGTATGTCAGAAAGACTGAATATTGCAGCAGAACATCAAAAACCAAAACAAAGGGAAAACATCAGTAAGTTAAAGAATTGAAGAGTAGATTTCAAAGGGCAGCTCATGAAGATGAAGCAAAGCATTACAATGAAATGTGAAAAGGGGGGAGTTAGAAAATTAAAAGTCAAGAATTGGCTCAACATTTCTCAAGCTGAAGGAACTGAAAACAAATTCAATCCTTATGTTGGAATACCATACGGTGTTATGGACAAAATCATGAATGATCCAGGATGCATCAAAAAAGAAGATTGAAAGACTAACAGAATCACTGTGCCAAAAACAGCGGACTTCCAGCTGATCCATCTCAGGAAGTAGCATATGATCAAGGACTAATGGTAATAAAAGTTCCTTTGAATACTCTGAAGGAATTAGAAACAAATAAGGCCCCAGTAATTAATGGAATACCAATATACACATTTCAACAAACAGATGTAGCCCTGGATAAGCTCAAGAAAACTGGAGGACAGCTACCTGGCCAAGTGACTGGAATAGATCTATGTTTTCTCCCATTCCCCCCAAAACTGATACAACAGGAAGTATAAATTATCAAACAGTATCAGTAATATAACATGGAAAC